GCCCCGAGAGGCCACCACCGCTGCTGCTGGTGCTGCTGCTGCCATTGCTGAAGAAGCTGAGGACTGAGCTCGTGTTATCTGCCAATGGCTACCAGGACCTTTCCCAATTACCTAACTCGTGGACCTGCGTGTGAGGGGTCTGGTGACCCAGCCATGCATGTGAGGGGTCTGTGACCCTGGCTGTACAATGGGTTTGAAGAGTCTGTGGGCCCTATCCCTAACCCAACAATACAATTGGCTACATCAGCAAGATTCTGACAATTGCCCTAGCCAGACACATGGTTACCACATCACTGTCTAAATGGGACACTTTATGAGTAAAAGGTAGCAGTGTGAATAACAACATTGGGATAACAGGACTGTATTGGGTGAACTGAAAAGTTTGTTCCCCTAGTTATCAAGGAGATGCCCTGTAAATGTGAACTTCCTGGAAAGGACCTGCTTGGATGGACTCAGGAAATACATAGGTAGGGCTAGAGATAAGATTTTGGAATCCCTGTAGATTATGTTCTGGGGATCAACAAGATCACTCAAGGGAGAAAGTATAGAATTAAAGGAGAAAAAGGGTCAAAACTCAGATCCCCAGAAGGTGTTAGTGGAAAACACCAGAAGGCCCATGTCTTGGGTGAGAGGTGGAGCAGGACCCTGCTTAGCTCGGTTTCTGTTCACTTTAGTGTTCTGCCAGTCAATCACTGCTGCCCAAAGTAAGCCGGGATTCAATACTCTTCATTGAACATTCTGGAATGAGTGTTAAATAAAAAAAAGGCCTTCCCTTTGTTTACACACAGCCTGGCATTTTCAAAAATAATTTTACTAAAAATTAAGAGAAAAATGGAAATAATCACAGAATCAAAAGCACTAAAACAGAGTCCAAAGCTTTTAAAAGACTTCTATTTATTATGAGTAACATCCAGTTCCAATGACTTGGTGCCTTTTCAGGCACCTTATCTAACTTTCTCCTCTCTAAACCAGTTATCCAACTCTGTGCAACAAGGAAAAACTTCAGTGTCTCCTATTACTTTCTTCCTTTGAAGCCAAGACCTAGGTAGGAGAAGTCCAAATCTTGGGGTTCCATGTGGACCTTTGCACACACCTTATCCAGACTGCCTGGAGGACCTGGGTGACTGCTACAGTGTGAGAAGAAACTGCTGGCTCTCATGCAGCTAAAAGCTAACAATGCATCAGGCAGACCACAATCATAACAGAGCAAAAATGACCTAAAGTTGGCAATGAGAGGGCCACTGCCTGATCAGAGGGCACCTTGCCTAGAGATGACCTCTTGGAGGCTGGAAATAAATGTCTGGAAGAGAAGTAAAAAGCCAGGTGTGGAGATATGCGTTTGGAACTAACTAGTTATTGCAGAAGCCACAGTTAAAGCTGACAGACTGGATAAGCTCTTAAAAAACACGAGTAGGCAGCTGAGAATTGTTTGGGAATTGCTTAGAGTTAAAAAAACAAACAACAACAACAACAAAAAAGAGAAACACCGGAAAAACAAATAGAAAGCCTGGTCGGAGAAGTTGGAGGGAAAGCCAGGAAGGGGCAGCACTTTGGCAGCCCAGGGGAGGAGGAGCTTGCATAGTCAACATGTTAAACAATCCAGACAGAGTAAGCAGGAGCATAAGTGACAGGAAGCCACTGGCTTTGGCAATATGTAAGCTATAAGTATAATCTACTCAGAGTAAAAAAACTCACACCGTCCCCCAAATTAAAAAAAAAAAAATCTCTGGGTATATGAGCTTCAATAACAGAGATACTCAAATTTAGACAATCTCAATTTGTTCCTATTGCAGGAACCTGACCTGTCAACGGTCTCATGACAGAACAGAAAGTTTCATTAAGAATCTCTTTTATCTATTCACCTGAAGTGATGAAAACAAAGGCTTATCCTTACTTCAGCAGTCTCTCTGGGGTAATCACAGTCCAGCTCTAGAGAGAGGTATTCCTATTACAAAACATCAGATGGTGATTTGCATAAATTTCTTAATCATTGGAAAAAAGACCAAGGACTAAAATGGAAAAGGCACTGATTTGGAAATCTGATCTTCAATGAACGGACCATGGGGAATTAGTTACACCATTTCTCAAGACTTAGTTTCTTTATCTATAATGCCGGGGGGATGAACTCCATATGCTACATCCCTTTGAGCTCTCAAATTCCACAATTTCCTACTGAAAACCATGTGGAAACTGAAGTCTCTTCTTGGGTAGTGATGATATTACTACCCTGTGTAGATTGGATACATATGAGTATATGCTACTGTAGACAGAAAAAAGTTTGCTTTTTAAGTTCTACTTGTTGTCAGTGTAGAATATTTTTACAAAGACAATGATTAACTCAGTATTCTAATTTATTTTTTCATAAAACTGGCTTTAGCAACTTAGTTGTAAATAAATTGCCTTTCTGTAGATCTCAGCCAGAATATATACATTTTATTAGGCAAATGAAGCAAATATGTTTTCCAACACCTTTGACTAGGAAAGAAGGAAGCTTGGTATAGTGAAAAGAATAATGGGATCAGGCAGTCTGGGCTTCATTCCCACCTTCTATCTATTAAACCCGCTGGGGTTTAAATGCCTTAATCATAAAACGAAGAGGTTAGACTGGAAGATTAAATAACCACTCCAAGCCTAAAAATACAAGCCTAAACTATTATTTTAATAGTTTAACAGTGTGTGAATGTTGTCTGTCATGCTCGCTTCTTAAAATCTCTCTTTTCTTGTCCAAAATTCATTTTATGCTTTTTAAAGTAAGAGTCATATCCCATGAAAGACAGAGGTCATATTTTCCTTTACTCAACAGTGACAGACCATCCAGTGCAAATCAATGAAGGTAACATCTTGATCATAAAAACACCAGGACTAGTAAGAAGTTCATAATTAGGGAGGTGAGCAGCAACACGGTCCCCCTACACTGAAGGGTAACTTTCCCTGGGGAGTGGGTTTCTCTCTCTGCCTAGCACGAGAGGTTCAGTAGCCAAACATTCTAGATCAGGGGTGCTCAGGCTTGGTTGTTTCGTTTCCTCTAGACTGAGTGCATTTTACTAAATGCACAGCCACTTCTACCATTAACATCTCACATTAGACTCAGAGATTTTCTTTTAGGAGTGGAGACAGTTGTGAACTCTCTCCACACACCTCTAAACTATCAAATGAGATTCACTATCCTAGATTAACTGTGTGCTTTCAAATTGAAACTATTTACATTTCCTATCTCTGTCTCCTAAAAACATTTATTATTCACATTTCCCATCTTTGTCTCCTAAAAACTTTTATGTCACTATATTCCATTCAAATCAGTACATATATGAGGGTACTTCAAAAAGTTCTGGGAAAAATAGGACTGAAAGGTAACAATCTTTTCATAAGCTTTTTAAAGTACCCTTGTTTATCAAGTTCCCAGAATTTTTGTATCTTTTTTGTTAATAGGCAAAGTGGAAAAAAAAATTACTACTACTAACAAACAATACCTCCACATTGAACTGAATCATATCCTTTTCTCTCTTTTTTAAAAACCAAAATCCAAAATGAATAGCTTCTGCTATAGATCACAATAACAGGAAGTTACCTGACCAGGAGCTCTAAATGCACATTTGTAGTTATCTCCATCTGGATGAACAAATCATAGCACTTAAGTTCAGCATGTCTAAAACCACATTCTATCTTCCTAATCACAATGATGCCTTTTCTTGCTCTTTCTGGGAACATCACTATTCGATCATCTTTCTATTCACCACCCTCATTTCCCATATCTAATCAGTGTTCAATTCTTGGACATTTCTAATACCTCTTATCATTTCCGTCTTTCATCTAGTCTCTCTCCCTGTCACCAGTTTTTTCTTAATCCCAAATCTTCTAAATTAGTCTATTTAAATTGTAGAACTGATTATTTTGCTCCTTTCTACAAAACCTTTCAATGACTTTGACTATTAAGACCAAATTCCTTAATATGTCATTGAAGGCTCAATGCCCCACGATGAAACTCTCAATCTGGTCTTATTTCTCGCAAGTCTTCAATAGCTCATTTGGAGCTGTTATCTACCTCTCTATATCCACGTGTCTGTTTTTACACTCCCTCCACCTGAACTACTCTCCTCTCCCCATGGCAAGTGGCAAATTAAATTTAATCTACCCTACAAAGCCCAAAATAATTTCCATCTCCTCCAGAATGAGGCACTCTTGAGTCTGCAACTCTGCCCTTTGAAATATGTATGTTCTCTTTCTTTTTTCCACAATCACTGTATTTTGATACTGTTCCAACTGCATGTCGGTTCCTCTTAACGTTCATTTTTTGTGCTTCTCGTGTATCTGTCTTGTACCTTGCACACTTGCCACTGGATTAGGAGCTACCCCATGGCAGAAACAATCTCCGCAAAGGTTAGCATACACAGTGCCTTGCACTTAGAAACTTCCTAATAGCATATTATTGCTAAAACATATTATTGCTAAAGTGATTTAAATAGAAAAAGCACGAGGCCTACCATAGTAAGCTATTTCTTTGATAATCAGAATATTTTTGTATTCTATCTGATGAGTGAAATCTAGAGCTTCCTCTTAGATATCAGTAAGACAGCACAGGTAGGGTGTAAGGTTGGCAGCTGAGGGTACAGGGCACAAGCATGAACTCTATAGCATGGTGTGAGTCCTGGCCCTGCTTCTAGCTAGTAGCATGGCCTTGGCAGTGAAGTGAACAACCTGATGGATTAAATCAACACCAAGAATTTTCTCCTATTGTAGATAAGATACAATCTTTGAAATTACTCTCATATTTCTTATTAACAAACTCCAAAACAATGATTTTCATAAAATGTCCCTTATACCCATGACCACAAATATCTGCTGGGTAGGAAAAACGTCAATTTGTACTGGTAGCTAATCATCTCCTGCAACAGCATCACTCAGTCTCCAATCACTCCATTTCAATAGTTAATCAACAGCAGACAACTTTGTTGCTCATCACTTTACAACTGCGTGATGTGGCCAGCTGCTAGCAGACACACCTTAAAACCTTTTGAAGCAGCAATGTGGGCAGCAGTCCAGCCTTCTCTGTCGGCATGGTTAATGAGGTCTGCAGGAACTACAGGCTTGGATGTGCCTTCAGAACTCTCTTCTCGATCCAAGTCAAAGATGCCTGACTCAGGCTCCTCTTCATTCACAGAGTTTCCATGAGTGGGTACCCGATGGTACATAAGGAGCTTCAGGCTGTCCACACTACCAGTGTCCACAGCTGCATGAACTGGTGTCCAGCCATCCTGAAAATAAAATGACCAGGGGGAAAGGGTTGGTGACAACATGAGTGTTGAGAACAGTGTTATTTAAAGCTCACCTTGAAATGTTCCTGGGTATTGTAAGGAAAACGTAAAATGGTCAGGCTCCCTCAGCTGGTCGGAATCTTGCTGAGCATGACCTAGCCTGTTTGATGTAAATATGTTAACTGTGCACGTGCGCCCAGGTGTTTCTTGGCTATTGTCTGATGTAATTGCGCATGTGTGCCAAGGTGTTCCTTGGTTATCTGACTTGCACCCAGGTGTCCCTAGGTTATCTGACTTAAGTATAAAGGACTAACAGCTCCAATCCACAGGGCCCCTGAGATGCCACCAGGCTGCCACTGTATCTGTCGCTGGATCTGCTGTAAGCTGCTGCTGCTGAGGCTGGCTGGGGACAGAGCTCATGTCAAATCATGCATGTCAACCTTGCCAACGGCTCCCAGGATCTTTTCCAATTACCTAGCTCATGACCTGCATATGAGGGGTCTATGACCCAGCCTGCATATGAGGGGTCTGTGACCCAGTCTGCACAGAACAGGTTTGAAGGGTCTGTGACCCAGACCGACAACGGGTTTGAGGGGTCTGTAACCTAGCCCGACAGGTACGTACCACCGAGCTGGGAAAAGCAGGCATTCTAATGCTGAATATCCCTGGTAAGCTGAGTAAAGATCTCTGACCTCTGTGGGTTACTATACTTCCCACTGCTATGACTCATGTTTGCTATTCTGTAATTATTTCCACCTAACAGCCATTTAGAGTGATCAGGTACTGCCCGGGAGGGTAACTGAACATTATGTATGATAACCCAAAGTCTCAATTTAATACTATGAAAGGAAATGAACTTTAGCATAAAGAGATTTTTAAAAAAACTTATATACAGAATGATGTTATTAGTAATGTACTAAAAGAATGCTGTTATAAGCCAGTTTTACTTATAAGGCAGTGTCCTAACTTTAGTGATCTTAAAATTGTATGCCAACCTATTCCAGAAGGAAAGATCCTAGATAACAGGGAGGAGGTAGACACGCAGGAAAAACCAAGCCAAATAATTTCATTGGATGTCATGGGCCTCTATTGAGTGCTCTGCGATTGCAGAGGGATACTTACAAGCTTAGAAAATGTTCCAACTAAAATTATTGGGTCCATTTTCTAAAATATATTATTACTTTGGAGCCTTTATCACCCACTTAGCTGGCTTTTATAATAGATGCAGAACTCTTTTCTAGGGCAGTGATTCTCAGGTGTGCTCCCCAGACCAGCAGCATGAGCATCACCTAAGAACTTGTTAGAAATACAAATTCTAATCCCAGATCTAATGAATCAGACACTCTGGGGTGGGGGCCACCAATCTGTTTTAACAAGCACTCCAGGTGATTCTGATGCACTAAAGTTTGACAGCACTATTCCAGGGAAATAGTTCTTGGTTCTATCTATAGTCTCTCATTTCTACATAGAGATGGGTCTGCCTTCTATTCAGGAACCCATCTTCACTTGTTTTTAACATTTTTCACGAAAAACTGAGCCTTATTGTGATGATTTGTATTATGACTTTATTTTATTTTTCTGCCTTTATTTTCCCTTTGACAAATTTTTCATGTGGTATTTCATATTGTTGTACTAAATTATATTTCAGTGAGCTGTGCTCATGTTTTTTATTTTTTTAAGAATCCACGGTAGAAGACACAGAGAAAAAAGACAATAAATGGCAGCAATCTAAATTTAGTCTAAGTAATCTGATCATTTGCTAAAGCTGTTCCTTGATGATGTGGCTTTTTCTCTGGTTCTGCACTTCATACCAATAAAGCCCACTTGGCTAAGACAAGACCATGGCTGGGCAGTAACTGGAGTACTGAGTATAGTCCTCAGGCTTCAGTCAGGTAAAGGAATTTCATGGCTTGTTCTTCCTTGAGTCGTGGACACCTTTACTTGGGTAGCAGCCTTGGATAGGCACCAGAATGTAAGTGCTTTGGACCTTTCCTAATTTACATTACAAAGGCACATGGCCATTCCTGAAGAAACTTTCAATCTTCCATTCTCCTCTGATACTTTCTTATTAAAAGGCACAAGACATTATTAATCATTCCCTTAAGATCATCCATCAATTATACTGTTTATCTCTGTACTTCTGAGCATCTGTACTTCTGAAGATTTTGTTCAGCTCATCAACAACTAGCTTGACAACATGGATTTCTGTGTTCTCTAGATTACACAGAATGTGACTTAAATTTTTATGTGTACTACTAATTTTTCATTCAGCATGGTGATGTAAAATTCATTTATTTTTCATCTATAAGGTAAAATTTTATAACAAATATGTGTAATACCATGGATTGCTTAGATAAAATATATAAAATAACATGAAGAAATGTGAAACTAACTTATTTTCTCAGATTTTCAAAGAATAGAAAGGAGAGTTTTGTTTTTTAAAACTCTAGCAATAAGATTCAATGAAAAATGTTTATACCTAGTTTACTATATCCCTGCTTATATCATTAAATGCTGGTTCTCTTTGGGAAAAATCACATAAGAAAACCCAGGATCTAAGATTATTATTTGTTGAATGAATAAAAACTTATTACACTTTCTCCTGTATTTCTGAATCATAGGACACAGGTATTTGTTTTCTTGTTTTACACACGAATAATCTGAGGCTCAGAGGTTAAAGGACTGGTTAGGCCAATGAGGAAGCCTTTTAATTAGTAGGGAAAAGACTCAAACAGAGGTCAGACACTTTCCAAATCCAATATCCTAAAAAACAAAACAAAGTAACCTGTATTTTAACATAGTTTGTTTTTCTAACCGTAGAGTTTGCAGACACATTGTAAATTACATATATAGGAAAAGAAAATTGATACTCACTGTGGTTTTTACACTTCGGTCAGTTCCAGCTTCCAACAAGAGTTCAATACATTCTTTATTTCCATTTTTACAGGCCAGGTATAGAGGGGTCTGTCCTCCATCAGCAGCATGATTAATATTAGCATCATATGCAATTAATAATTCTACACACCTAAACACAAGATTATGACTAATTACATAAAAACTGAGTTTGAGAAGATACAACAATCACAATTCCTTGAACTTGTTAAGGCAAGTGAACAGATATGATGTTGATGGCGGGGCAGGGAGGGAAGAAAAGGAGGAATTGGTAAAGGGACGCAAAAATCAACTACATTATATATTGACAAATGAAAATTAAAAAAAGAATTAGAATAGGCTATGTTGACATTGCATGCAAGACATACCTGTTACTTTTATTCAGAAAACTGAAATAAGTTCTTATAATAAAAATAATACATGATTGTTAAAAAAAAAAAAACAAAAACCAAAAAACTGGGTTTGACTTCTGAAGCACCACCTGGCCAAGATATTAAATTAAAAAAAATAAAGCTGAAGCAATTCTGCATCTTTATATACATCAATTATTTTTATTTATAGATAGCAATTACTGAGGATCTTATTATATGGATATTGTTTTTTTAAATGGCTAAAAACTATATTTTAATAAAAAACTACTCCCATGAAAATTTAAAACAGTAGTTTTGATTGAGTGATGAAACCGGTTCATGACACTTTTCTGTAACCAATTTGTAAAAGTGGAGTCCTTGAAATATGTTTAACTTGGGATGAATGGCTTGACTGTACTTAATATACACATATATATATAATTTGTTGTTCAAAATAGCTTGAATCTTGAAAAAAAGGCAGGCTGCTGAATCATTCTGAGATTTTCCCTTGAGAAAATCATTATAAATAGCGTAGACAGCAGGGCACCATGCATCTCCTCTATAAAAGGCAGTATGGAGGCTGAGAATAGGGCTGCCTTAGGGAGAAAAGACAGCAGAGTTTGGTGTCCTGTCTCCTCAAGGAAACTAGTTTTGAGGAAAAAGACAGCTAAGCAGAAACTCCCTGCCCTGAGAATCAAGACAGAATGAAATAAAGTCAACACTTTGTGACACTTAGTAACTGCTTAGCACCCAGAGCTTGATCTTGTAAAATCAACTAAGAATAAATGTAGGAAACAGGGATCAATCATAATCAAATTAAGAAGCAATTCACATCATCTTTGTTTTTTTGTTTTTTTACTCAGATGAATTTTTTTCTTGTCTTTCTTTGGCATTATTTGGTCTGTTGGTATATATCTTAAACATAAGGTACATGTTAACACATGTGTGTATCATACCCATTTAAATTAATTAATCTCTGGATTTCCCCTGGGTTCTTCCTTTTCACAAAGGTATCCATGCCTTCACTTCTGTGACTGTTCCACTCTCCAGGGAAGTAGCCCTACAGATTGCCCGATCACAGATAAAGGTAAAAGCATAGCCCAGAAAAAGAAATCACTTTTGGAGGACTCAGGATACATCCAAAAAGTGACAGCAAAGCAAGTCCCTATGGTTCTCAATAACAAACTCCAGGTGATGACACATGTATTAGACATGCAGGAAAAAAAATAATACCATATATTAAGGATGCATTTTGAATTTAAAAAACTTACACCTATGATTAGTGACATCAATGTGAACCTTAAAACCCATACTTCAAGAATTTTGTAATTTGTTAAAGAACATTTCTATCAGGACAGTTGGATTAAAAAGTTGAAAACAGCTTGTACTCCCCACAACCTGCCATTTCAGCAGAGGCAGAGAAAGCTACTTAGCTATATTCTAGTTCATTATTAAAATATGACTTGTAATTTTAAAAAGTCATGCCTATATTTAACTGACTTAGTAAGCTACTGAAGAAATCATTGCCAAAGTCATGTGTATTTTAATTAATACGCTCTCTTCAGTTTTAATGCTCAAACTTTCAGGACATAAAATTATTGCTTCAATTATTTTAAATGGTAAAACTAGATGAATAATCAGGATTTAAAACTGAATAAATTGCCACTTGGGATTTAAGATTATTACAAATAACATAATTCTATGTTTTACTTTTAAAGCCATCCTAAGTAACAATGATGGAGGTCTGAGTGGTAGAAAATATTGAACCACAAGCTTCTTAACAGTCCCTGATCTCACTATGTATGCGCAGATACACTATAGATTATTGTCTTCAGAAGATTATTGTCTGCACGTTCATTCACATGCAGTTTGGACACAGCATGTTTCTCTTCCTCACTTTCCTCATATACAACCACTTTATTATTAAGAAGAGCAAATTTAGGACACAACTTTGGATTTAAATCCTCAAATATGTTTAGTGAATTTATTTGCCGATGGATAGTAAGCACTAGTTTTCACATTCGGCCAGAACTAAAATATATATGCAAATTATAAAAGGAGGTCCTTTTCAAAGAGAAAGAGAAAAAAAATAATTAAGATCATCACTTACTCAAAATGTCCCTGAGCAGCTGCAGCACACAAGGGTGTGAAGCCATTTTTATCAGCAGCATTGACTTGGGCTTCTGCATTCAGCAGCAATCTCACACAGTCTATGGATTTAAACACAAAAACATGTTAATTCCCCATTTAGAGTCACGATGAGCCAAATTCTATGCAAGCTGTGGATAGATTCTAAACCCAAAGGACCTCTCCCATGTACAGTTAATCTGATAATTCTATCATGGCAGATGTGGGACCCCACAGACTATTTCATAGGGAAAGCAGCCTGTTTCACCAAAGATTATAATACCCCAGATTTACCAACTAAGACATGATTTTTTTTTTTTTGGTGCGTTTGGAAGAACTACTGAGGAGTAAAAGAAATGTCATGTGCTAGAAGACGCTTTATCAGATTCTTGCACCAGCTTCTCCCAGGAAATAATGTTTTTGGACAGAAAACCAAATCCATTCCTGAAATCGAAACAACATTCTTTGTATTCTAATAGTTAAATTCTTACTTTATGATGTTAATTTAATTAACTGTTAAAAGGTTTCTGTAAGGTGGCCGTCCTACATTTAACTCCGTGAACAAGGACAAAGGAGAGCCTACACAAAGTCACCTAACACAGGCATATCACCCACCCCTCATGCTGTGTTATTTACTGATATAATTTCTCTATGTTAAAGAAAATCTCCATAATGCTTTTGAAGTAAAAAAGAATTCTAAAGTACTTTAAAAATAACGAGCTATCTTTGCTGACTAGAATCTTCCACGTATCTAAATCACTCAACAATCATATGCTCACATATGCAGTGCTATTGGGCTTTGCATTTGCACTCCGATCATCCTTTTTCTGTACTACCATATGTTTTGGTATACTTGACTATAGGACTTGCATTTTAAAGAACAAGAATAATTCCCAGTCTTCATCTATATTTCATTTGTAGTTATGTAATTTTTCAGTTCACTTAAAAAATCTAAATAACCATAAATTGTTCCAACTACACAACAATTTCAGACCCATGACCTTTCCTAACTACTAAAACTTTCCCTTGCTGTAGCATACACTAAAGCCCTGATGCTTTGACTCTCACCTGTCAGGTATTTCTAACAGATAAATTAGGGCTATTCTGTCCTAACCAACATGATCACAGATGAAGGACTTTATTCTAAAATGTGCCTTAGTTACTAAACCCAAGATTTCTATAGGCACAATACATTTCATTGTGCATAAAAACAAAGACTATTCATTACTAGCTGCAGTAAAATATTATATTAAGGAACTGCTGTGGATAGATTATTCTGCCCAAACTCACTAGGTTTGTTATGTCCCCCAAAGTTCCAGGTATTGGAAACTTGTCCCCCACTGTGACAAAGTTGAGAGAGTGGGAAATTCTATAGTGATGACTGAAAGATGGGGCCTTAGGGAGGTGATCGGATTGTAAGGACCATGCCTTAGATCATGGGCATGGTTCTAAGGGCTTTAAAAGGAGAGCACCTGAGTGTCTCTCTCTCTCTCTGCTCCACCATGCTCTGCCATATGAGATCCCAGCATTGCTGTAAAGCCACCACCAAAAAGACCCTCACCAGATGTGTTCTCTGGACTTTGGACGTCCAAGCCTCTGAAACTGTAAGCAATAAATTTTGTTTTCTTACAAATCACCCAGTTCCATGTATTTTGTTATAAGCAACAGAAATGGACTAATACAGAAAATTTGTAACAGAGAAGTGGGGTGTTGCTCATAACAAATACTTGAAAACGTGCAATCAGCTTTGGAACTGGGTGTTGAGAAGAAGCTGTATGAATCTGGAGAGCAGGCTAGAAAAAGTCTAGATGCTGGTGGGAGTTTAGAAGACAAGAAAACTAGGAAAAGTTTGGAACTTGTTAGATACTGGTTAGATGTTGGTGAGCACAATGTTGATAGAAATATGGACAATTAAAGAAATAAGTTTTTTGGAAACTGGGGCAAAGATCACCCTTGCTATGAACTGGCAAGGAATGTGACTGCAATCTGTTCATGCTGTAGCCCAGTGATTGTTTACTGAGAAGATTAGTACAGAAGAAAAGAATTAAGAGAATGAAAAGAAGATTTTGAAGTCATTTCAGAGATCTTGGAGGCTGCATCTTCCATTACAAGACCAGAGGTTTAGGGAGACAGAATGGTCTTGGGGAACAGGCTCAAGAAACCTTCCATGGGCTCTTTGCCCAGGGCCACTTCAGGATGCTGCTCCCCATACCAGCACCCCAGCTGCTTTGGCTGCTCCAGCCATGGCTAAATTGGCCCCAGGTGTGGCTGGACCTGCAGCTTTGGAAGATAAAAACCAGAAACCGTGGCGGTGTCCACATGGTGTTAGGTCTGCAGACTCGCAGAATGCCAAAGCTATGGAGGCTTGGGAGCCTTCACCCTGATTTCAAAGGATGTATGGAAAAGCCTGGGGTCCAGGGAAGAGATCTGTCACAGGGGCAGATTTACCACATAGTCTTTGCTAGAGCAATGCTAAGAGGAAATCTGGGGTTGGAGTGGCAGAAGAAATACCCACCAAGGCCATGTGTAGTGGAGCTGTGACAAAGGGACTGCCATGGAGACCCCAGAACTGTGGAGCTCCCAGCATGCAACACCAGCCTGAGAGAGTTAAAGCATGGCCCGAATCCAGGAAAGCCACAGAAGCAGAACTGCCTGAGGACTTGGGGACCCAACCTTCATACCAGCGTTCAGAGGAGGTCAAACATGGAGTGACGGTACATGATTTGCCAGCTTTGAGATTTAAAGCCTGCCCTGCTGGGTGTCAGACTTGCTTAGGACCTGTTACACCTTTCTTTTTGCCTATTTCTCCCTTTTTGAATGGGAATATGTATTGTTTGTCTCACCACTGTATCTTGGGAGTAGATAACTTGTTTTGATTTCACAGATGGAACTCTGAACTTTAGACCATTGAAACAAGACTTTGGGGATGAAATGAATGTATTTGTGTATGAAAAGACATGAGTTTTGGGGGGCCAGGGGTGGAATGCTGTGTATTGAATATCTCCCCTAAACTCACTAAAGCTTAAATTGTGTCCCCTAAAGTTCCAGGTATTGGAAACTTGGCCCCCACTGTGACACAGTTGAGAGAGTGGGGAATCCTATAGCGGTGATTGAAAGATGGGGCCTTGGGGAGGTGACTGGATTGTGACGACCACGCCCTAGATCATGGGCATGGTTCCAAGGGCTTTAAAGGAGAGCACCTGAGAGTCTCTCTTTCTCTGTTCCACCATTTCTGCCATGTGAGATCCCTGCATTGCTGTAAAGCCACCACCAAGAAGACCCTCACCAGATGTGTTCCCTGGACTTTGGTCTTGCCAGCCTCTGAAACTGTAAGCAATAAATTTTGTTTTCTCACAGATCACCCAGTTCCATGTATTTTGTTATAAGCAACAGAAATGAAATAATACAGGAACTATACAATTTGGACTTTTTAATGTTAACAAAAACTTAAACCTTATGTAAAAACAAAAATAAAATTATCCACTACTACCTGTAAGAGAAAACTGAAACCAAAATGGACCTTTTGCTCATAGCAATGATTACAAGTGTTTTTGACTTTCCATCCTTTTGCAAGTGCGTGGTATGATGAGATAAGAGCTCGCCATTTTTACCTGTATGTCCATTCTTAGCAGCAGAATACAAGGCAGAATGGCCATCTTCACAGGAGTAATTAATGTCCAGTCCTTCTTCATTAAGCAGCATTGATAATAAAGTGACATTTCCCTGGGCAGCAGCTTGCTGAAGAAGGGTGGGCCTGCCAGCCAGGGGGGCAGGACCACCACTCATTAGCAAAGGGGTTAGGGAGGGTGACCAGCCTGTAGGTTAAAGTGACCCTCGTTAGAGCAGGAGAAAGGACAAGAGACAGATATTACCCATCCCTTCTGAATTACACACACACAAACATATGAACATGTATCCTCAAGAGGATTATGTGGTTTCTAACATTATCAATATGTTAATATTTACTCAGCATGAATCTGTACTGTTATTTCAGATCTTATATTGGCTGCTAATTAAATTAACATTACATCATAAGTTATTTTTAGTCATCAGTCTTGCACAGATAAATGTTAAAGTGGTGACTGGTTTTAGGAAACTAAGATGGCTGTCTCATTTTAAAAGTTCAAATTGCTCTTTAGGATTTCAAAACAATTTGAACTTTAAAATCATGTTAAGGTTTCCTCAATTTCAATATCAATCTGAAAAAGTGAACTGACATTTTTAGGTATAAGACAGAAATAATTATAAGAAATAGAGATTTTCTTTTTTCATCAATGTTTCTAAGGTACTTAACTATACATTTTTACATAAACCACTAAGACGGACCAAACACTGTCAAGGAGCTTATTTACATTCCTTGAACTCCCTTATTTGGAAATAAAGGTAACAGAGGCCAACTACTATTCGCTATTAATTGCTAATGCAAACACAACATATATGACTGGATCTAGAATACATTGGCACAAATATTCAATACACAATTTTGAAGACTGTGTCATCTGGCCATCTTTACAACATGTCCAACAGACTTTTAATCAGCCAACAAAACAGGACACTCTACCATATAGTTTTAACAAAAATAATAAGAGTTATCATAGTTAGATATTTCTCATCAGTGTTTAGCAGCTTTAGAAGAGAATCTGTTAAGTGTGTGAAGTCGGCTGCATATAGCATGGAAAATTTTCTGAATTCTTCCTTGATCAAAAGGCTGTAAAAACAGTAAAGTAAAAATGTTTATTTAATGTGATATATAGTATCTGTGCATTTAAGGCTTACATACAGTGAACTTTCAAAATAAGTCATTTTACTTTTCTCCATATAGAGCCCCAGTACCTTCAAATAACGACGTTGTATATATATATATATATATATATATATATATATATATATATACACACACACACACACATAGAGAATTCCTGAGGGCACACTTTCTACATATATTTATGGAATCATTCTCTTTAGTAAGATACAATAGATGAATGTTTTATATTCCCTGCACATCAGTATCAAGACAATGTTCTAGGTATGTGGGTGTTATATTACTATGTATGTGACTCTCAATTCTTATGAATGAATCCTAAATTATTGGTCTTAAATTCCTTTAATAAATATTAAAATGGTGCATATGAAAAAATTTCTCAGTATTTTAAAAATTATTTACAAAACAAAACAAAGCCATTTATACAAATGAACCTACAGTGCTTATTAAAAACTGGATATTACATCTTTATAATCAATTATTTGGGTCCATGAATAATTTATTGTTTTTATCCTATTAGGAATGCAGTGACATACAAAACCAAAAGCCTCATGAAATTCAATGTTTATCTAAACTTTATGATATTTTCCCACTAATATTCATTAGCTCTTCTTACAAAAGTAGTATTTTTACTTCATACTTACAAGAAGGCTCCTCTCTGGTACATTTTACCTTTTGTATTTTCTTAAAAACAAACAAACAAAAAAACAGGCCCACAAAAATTAAATCAGTACTTATTAGAAATAGAGGATAAACAGAAATTATAAATACCAAGGTATGAAACCTTGACTGCACAGCAAACACAGGCAATATGAAGGCATCGCACTATCGTCCTCTGTGGAACAGGAGGGGATGCAGCTCACGCTCTCAGCCAGTTTCTTTCTCTCTCATTCTCTCATTCTCTCTCTCTCTAGATCTCATCCAAGGGGTCTTGGTTATTGATATTCTATTATGAATACCAACACGTGTATAGTCAGTGGTTTGCTATTCTTTTGGGTTTTATTTTCATTTTTCTTTTTTCACCAGAATTCTAGGCTTTGGGAGGATAGTTTCAATATATTTTTCAACTGCTTTGTGTAAAAATATTGAAGGATGAATATAATTTCCTGGGAAACTCCATTTTTAATATTGTTATCTGAAAGATAAAATATTTTATTCAAATTTTTTCTTAATCTTTAGACCACTCAAGAGCCTTGCAGTTCTCTTCCTGTTATACAGAACAGCAGCAGAAGATACATCGATTTCCTTATTTTCTTAGGGGGCTGTAATTAATATATTTTTTAAATGTTAACAAAAGAAAAATGCTTTATAAATACCAAGTATTTTTAAACTTCAAATACATTTTATATCCTCACTATCATTTCCAGTTTTCTCTAGCACAGACAAGCTTAAGTCACTTTAATAAATCCTGCTATAAATATGGAAACAAACAAAACTTCACTGCCAGACTATTGTTCACCTGAAATTCTCAACAATGATAGAAATGGTACTATTTTGTTAACTGGTTAAGAAATGGTTAAGTAATAACTGAACAGGCCTGTATTCACATAGCTACTCTAATGATGTTAGGAAAGGTCATTCAGCTTTCAGTGTCACATGCAAACATTAGTACAGGTGACATCTTGCACAACATGCCACGAGGAAGGGAACAGACTGAACATGCAATGGCAGAGGGAAGAGGAGTTGCCAACAGCTTCCGGCATCAGCTTCAGAGGGTGGAGAGGGTTAATGTCACAGCCCAGATCATTCTTATTTTCTGATGTAGCCTTTAAGCCAATCATACATGGAGAGTAATTTTAAAAATATATGTTTAAGGGAAAAAGTCTGAACCAAATCAAATAAAATGCATTAAAAACAAAACAAAACAGAAAAATAATTTCCAGGGGCATGGAAACTCAGTTGCCTGGAGCGATTTCTGGGCTGGGCTTCTGTTCATCTAACAATTGAAATGTGTTCATTTGACAAGTTTGGTAGGAACAAGGAATTCTAATTCATTAGAAGTTAAAACATTATTTAAATATTTAACATTTGGCAGTAGGTGTTGCCAATAGCATTAGGGTAATTTATAATGCAATTCATCAAAATAGTAACTTCTGTTATCCCAATTCTCCTTGGTGCTTTAACTAAGCCATAATTGTTTGTCATTGAAGCTGACATGGAAAATCAGGATTTTAGAGTTTGAAAGACCATGGGATCTAGCAGTTTCCCAAGAAAGGAGAGGTAATGAACTATTGTTTGAAAATTCATCAGGCAAAATTATTTTGAATATTATTTTTTGTTTGAAAATATTTTTTTTTTGGTTCAATGCTTTCATTTTTAAATGGAAAAGCTAATGGCTCAGAGAGAACATGCTTTCTAGGGTGATACTTACAAAGAAGCAGAAATGGAATAATCCTGACTTCGTACATTCAGTTCAGTGCTTGTTTGATCACTGAACTTGGGACAGACATCTGCCAGGTATTTGGCAGATGTGCTGTGTCCTCATGTCCTGTCCTTAGCAATCACGATGGCATTTAGTGGCTTTGTATAAGGTTGATACCTTTCAGTGGGCTTATGACCTGGAGAAGCACAAGCTCACCCAGGCACGGACAGGTTAAAAAGCAGGATGGAGGGAGCTCTGGTGCTTCCTACTTGCAATGGGAATGTGACAAAAATAGGGCAATCTAAATGGAAAACAGAATTGAAATCCTATATCTCAACTGGAGAGTTCAGGCTGACCTACATCCATAGTTGAGTTACACAGTTATACACCCCCATTATGTAAGTGTAATAACATTTCCATTCCCTGAACAGATGAGGTGCTCAGTCAACATTTCCTGAATGACTAAAGACTTCCAGTGCCTCTACTCTCCCCTAATAAGCCACATCTTATAATCAAATGATACAGAAATTTGTTATTCCACCAAAGGTAATAACCCTGTACTTCTGAGAATACTTTGGCCAAATTGCAAAAATCGGAGAATAGAGAATGAGGAGCCAGTTTCATGAACCTTTAGTGGATGTTGTTGCTTTGGTTCACCATGTTCTCTTTTGCTCTCCAAACATAAGCAAAGGACATTTTTCAGAGGAATTGTGGATCTTATGAAGGTCATTCTGGTAAATATATAGCAGATTAGGAATTCTTCATCTTTAAAAGTTAACTTAAAATCCTGCTGACAAGTTATGCTTCTCAGTCATGGATCCTGATTTTAAAACTTCTGTGCTGAAACCAAAGAGCATTTGTGGCTGGACCCTGGACCACAGCGATGACCAAGAAAACAACTGGCAAAGCCTCAAGGTATCAAAGCAAAGATGGCTTTGTATTTTTAAAAAACTGACAAAACATATATATTCCTGGGAAGCGTTTTCTACTTCACAGTCTATGCATTTAAGTCAATAGCACTGCCACAGCTCCAAACATTTTTGGAACTTGTGTAACTGCCTAAAGATCTTACAGTACATTCTGTGATTCTCCTGAATGGTAGCAAATATTCCTTTTCCGAGGGTGGGTTTAATTTGTCACAAACAGCTAACATTATTTTAGGCCAATGAGAAGGGCTGTCCAGCTTAGTAATATGATTTTGGATAAAAAATATGGAGAGCTGAATGCTTGCAAACACATCACAATATAATACCGAAGTCAATTCTAAAACAAATTCTCAAAAATGCTTTGATCACCAATATCATTGAAGCAGCGACAACACCTCTAGTTATTGCTTGCTCATGCTGTTCTAAGCTTGATGCCATGCTCTTTGATGTGTTATAGTATCTGATCCTCCTAACATCCACTCTCCCCCCATATAAGTAGCAAAGCTCCATATTAAGGAAGAGAAAACTTGCTCAGTTTAAGAAAAAATTGCCAAAAACACAATTGTAAATGGCAGAGCCTAGATTCCAATGCAGAGCTGACTAACTTCCAAGTCCATGCTGTTTCCAATACCCAATTTTGCCCCTCAAAATACAGATATAGTCTCACAAAGAGCTTAATTTCAAGGAGACAGTTTATGATTGAATAGATAAATCCTGGTGTACTGCTCTCATTACTTAATGATTAGCATGTATAGAGCTACCTGTTTTTCTCATGCCCACTTTCCCCTGTAAGTTTTAAATAAAACACTATTCAAACCTTCTTTTAATTTTTAAAGTTCCCTCCCACAGAAACAACTGTCTCTGCTTGCTATCCACTAAGATCCCCTGGTAGGACAGACATCTCCAAACAGAACTCCGACATGGTAACATTAGTTTAGAGCCACAAAGTGCTCAATGAAGAACTAATCCAGTCATGTCAATCAAAAGCAAGGCTTCCTCTACCAACTATGCAACAGAAAGGGAAAGTCCAGTTCTTCTTTGTTCAAGAGTCCCAATGAGGGGCCGGCCCGGTGGCGCACTGCTGCAGTGCGCCGCTTGGGAGCGCGGTGGCGCTCCCGCCGAGGGTTCGGATCCCACATACAGACCGGCCGCTCACTGGCTGAGCGAGGTGCGGGTGCGACACCAGGGGTTGCGATCCCGTTGCCGGTCCCGGTCCGGTACGGGCGCGACACTGAGGGTTGCATTCCGTTGCCGGACACGAAAAAAGACAAAAAGGAAAAAAAAAAAAAAAAAGAGTCCCAATGAGTTCATAAGCCACATCTGCAATGAAAACCTTCTCCAGTATAGCCCATATGCTATGCTACCCAACTGTGCTCAAGTGTTGGAAGAAGAAAGCTCTCAAGAGGGTAAACAGCTTTTGAAATTAGAGCAGAGATTTATAAATATTCAAACTTCATCTTTGAGGGTTAAAAAAAAAAACGCTTAACACCAAACAGATATTAAAACCTAGATTATACCAATTATAGAAGAAATCTAATCGATTTGATAATCCAGGGTAGTGTTAATAATAACTTTAAAGGATTTTTTTATGTCCTCTCGGAATGGATAGACTCTGACGATGCCTGTTTATACTGAGGTCTTGTGAGATAAATGTTTAATGAGAAGGAATACTCTTTTCTCCCATGGAAATGTTACAGCCTTTCTAAATTAATGGTCTCCATGTGCTTCAAACCACAATTTTCAGGTTATTTTAAAAGAAAAAAAGCACTCAGCATAACAAAACCGCAATTCATACAGCAAGATGAATCACCATACCCTGGGGCCTTTAAAGAAAAACACAAAAAAAGAGAGGAAAGAAATAGGGGGAAAAAAAAAAAGGAACAAATTAAAAAATAAAAAAAAAGTTTCAAGGCAATGTGAAGGAAATTGAGGCACGTGAGAAGACAGGCCACATTCTTAAAAAAGGGTATAATATTTCAATCCCTTTACCTGATGCTGTTACCAGGAGGCTGTCTGAGGCACCTGGTCTACGGGATGAGGCACTAACAGGGTTTATGGAAGAGCGAAAGGCAATGGTGGTAGGAATGACAAGGGAACTGTCTGAACATGCAGGTTGGTTCGATCCAGGGGTTTCAGCAGGCCAGGCACCCACCTGAGACGTGGCCAGGGCTGAAACAGCACAGCCTGCAGGTGCCACAGTTAAATCTATGGATGGTTTTGGTGGCAGCTGAGGGGAGGATGATTTAGGGAGGTTCTCCTCATTTATGACCCTGTTCCCTTGGGGCAAACTGGAAGGAGGCGAAGCCACAGTTTTGTTATCAACCTTGGCCCCTGCGTTTGAGGCCCTGCTGCTATCCATGATAACCTTGAGTTGGGGGTGTGGTGGAGAAGGAGTCTGGGAGAGCCCTGGCTTTTTTGGAGGGATAGGAGGAGGATTTCCTCTGTCAACTCGTGCTATACTGGGAGTCTTTAAACTGGTGCGACCAACGGGAGAGTAGGTGCCAACGTCCCCCGTAGGGGGGGCTCCGGGCCTTGGGGCTGCACTTGCTTGAGGGCTTGTAAATCTTGACAGTGCTTGGGTCACAGTATTCCGAGCAAGCTGTTTGGCCACTAGGTTGTCACGACTTGTAGGAGAGACATCTCTTGATGGAGGACTTTGGGTAGTATTTCCATTTTGGTCCGGGTCATTAGCATTGCCCTGAAATCTAAATCTAGCTGCTTGGATTCGTGGGTTTAGACCTGGATGCAAAGACGTGTTGGCACATGGTGAATGTAAACTGTGTACAGGCGGAGCCTGTGAGTGGTTCTGGGGAGCTGTGCCTGGGGCTTGAGCAATGGGAGGACCAGTGTTATTGGGAAGTGGGGGTACGCTACTTGTTAGGTCTGGTATTGAGCCAGGGCTAGGTCCATTTTCTTCAATTTTGCTTGCACTTGGAGGTGGGAGAGTGGGTAGAGAGGAGCCAATCAAGTCACAATGGGAAGCCTGCCTGTCAACACTTGGCCTGAGCAAGGTGGCATTGGTGCACACATTCCCTTTTGCATTTGCAGAGACTAGGGGGCTCCCTGTGGAAGGCTTTACAGGCACAGTCAAAGGCAACTTCTTCACATGGTCAGTGCTGTCTGTCACCAGGTCTGTCTGGCAAGCAACAGACCTTGTCACAGGTCCTTCTGTCCCCACAGATATAGAAACCAAACGCCTATCTTTTGTCTTCCGTGGGAGAGAGAGGCTTGGCTTACTGTCATTTCCCCTTTTCAGCTGCTCGATCATTTTCTTCATCTTGTCTATCTCCTCTTTGAGGTCAGTGGTGTGTGCTTCTTCGCGGTTCAGCTTGGCACGAAGCTGCTCCCGTTCAGTATCGAACTCTGAGAGCTGTTTTTCCATCTGAGCTTCCATTTCTGTGCTTCTGCGTTTCTCTGCAGAGAGTTCCTCTTCTAATTCATTTGTCTTCTTCTTTTCCTCTTCCAGCTTGGCCATGGCTTCCTCTAGCTTCTGGGCCTCCTCTATGACTTTGCCCGAGAGCTGTTTACACTCCTTCACGAGCATCAGGACCACCAGCTTGTTCTTGCCACGCTCCTCCTCGAGGCGGGCAGCCAGCTTCTTGTGCTCTTGCTCGAGGGTTTGTAGCTGAAGTTTCTCCATTTCCAGCTGGAAAAAATTCACAGGAAAGCCCTCATTAATCTACAGACCATTCTTTCCACCGAAGAAGTGCTTTTTTCGAGAGATTTTCATTAATTTTCTAACAATTACATGGTAAGGGTTAGCAAAAAATGTCACCTTTTCAAAATATGTTGTGAGAAGAAAGATAATATTTTAAAGACCTATTAAGATGAGAAAATAGATATAAATGGTTTTATGAAAAACATCTAAGTTACAACAACAGACAATTTTTAGATCTATTAAAGTTAACTATGAAAAAAGAGAACAATAATCGGATGCTTCAAATCACAGCAGAGTTCAGAAAGGTCCGTTTTCATAAAAATAGAGCCTTGTGAGGGAACTGGGGATATTAAAAAAAAGAGGTTTAATACCTTAAAATTACTAACTAATCTCTGAGGTACAGAATCATAAAAAGTGCTGAAAACAAAGGACTTTGGTTAAATGCTAAGCCCTTATATTTGATAATTGGATTACTTAGCTAAATAATGTAACTTCTTTGAGTTTCTTATGATGGGTTGTTGTCAAAGTCATATAAAATCGCATATGAAAGTTCTTTGAAAACTAGGCAGAGCTAAAAATATGTCTTATTGGAACTATAATCAGTGTCAATGAACCCAAAAAGCCTGTCTGCTACTTCGATCCCATTTGCTCACTTGATTCCCATGGCCTTGGCCTTCCTGTTTGCTGCACATTCTTGAACAGGGTCCGACCTCAGTGTCCTTGACCTTGCTGTCTGTTCTCTCTGCCTTGGATTCCACCCACACACCTTCATGTAGTGTTCTTGCTCTCCTCACCATTCCATCTGCTCAAGCATGCAGGGAGAGGTACCTTTCCCTTCACAAAAAAGCTGTCTATTCACCGAGCCATAGGCCCCTAGGATTGGTGCTTACCAGAGAAGAAACATTTCTCTAATTGTTCAACCTAGAGAGGAAGCTTTTAAAAACCTTTATCTCTGCAGATGGGGTTTTCTAATATGCACAAAAGTACCCAACAGCACAAGAGGCTGGCTCCTTCGTGTCCTCCAGAGCTCTGCTGAATTGAGGCCTTCCCTCACCACCCCGTTGAAAATAACAGTCCCTGCCATCCATGAATGCATCACCCTTTGTCTAGCACCTACCTGCCCCCACTGGAATGTGACTTCATGAGGGCAGGGACTGTCTGTCTTGTTTGTGGCTGTGTCCTCAAGACCTAGAAGAGTGACTGGAACACAGTGGTGTTTAATAAATTATTGGTTGAATGAATTAATGAAATTAATGTAGTTCCACAGAAACAACAAACTTCCAAACACTGATGGTACTTTCTGGGTACAAGGGCAACCTTACAGCTGCACTATTCTAACATGTTCCTACTGGCTTCTCACTTCTCTCCAGGGGAATATCTGTCACGAGGGTCTCCTGAAGGACAAAGGACACACTCCGAGCTGGGACACAGGAGTTAGGTCAGCTTACATGCCTGATCTGCCCAACTAAAGAAACATTCTACCAGGGGTACATAGAGGGCTTCATGGCTCATAAAGGTTAAAGTAGACCTACCTGATTAAAGATATGGAGAGGACTTTTTTTCCCTCTAGATGTTGAGCACAAATGCACTCCCAAGAGAGTTAGTACCTATTTAAGTCAGATTTTAGTCAACAGTAACGGAGGGAGGAGATGCTCTCACGATCCCTCAGTTGAGGGCACGTGCTCCTGTTCCTTACCTGCTAGGAAAATACACTCCTCCATTCCCATTCACAGTCATACAGTCATGGAACCAAGAGGAGAAAATGGCTCGCTGCCCAACTAGAGGTCAGAGACATTATTTACTATTTACTCTGGATGCTTCATGCTTTGAAGAGCAGTTGCTGAATAGCATTGGATGGATCCCATAAATAGGTGATCTGGAATATAGATCATTTCTCATGAACAGTTACACATATGCTCTACTCTACTGTATGGAATTTTGGGGGTCACTTCATAAGTAGATTAGGTAAGATTTGGGAAACAACAGTGCTATCATATATATTTACATTTATATTATATTCACTTGGGTGCCTCACAGAAAATTTGAGTTATTATTGGCTAAAGCACATTTAACTCTTGTAATGTGCACCAAATGATAGACTGCTGCTAGAAGGCATAGACAAAGTTAGAACTACCAAGAAAATTTAAAATGCATTTTATATTAACTCCAACAAAAAAATATTCTTATGGCAATGTAAAACAGCAACAACAACAAAAAACCCCCCACACAAACTAGGTCAATTTTCAGCTTGTATTTAAACTACAAGTTTCATAATTTACCCCAAAAGGTAGAAAAAAGATGTGCTGTAGAACTTTAAGAGCTACCGTCATTTTACAAAACAACTAAGCAGAGGCCAACTTAGTGATTTCGCTGATGTCGTCTGGCTAATTAGCATCAGAATCATGGCAATTACTCAGGGTGCTATTTGTCTCAAGTTTTTCTCACCATGTCACATATCTTGCCCATGGTATTTCTTCACTATGGATCATCATACTTCATTTTTGAAATAACTTTCATCTTACACTTCAGAATCAAATTGAAGAAACAGTTCCAACTGAAAATCAATACGACTGATCTCAGATATTTATACAGAAATCTATACTACTATAAAAGCATCCATAATTCTTTTGTATCTTTGTCCTTCTACCACTTGTGCCTTATAAATCCTATCTCAGACTAATTCATGTCATTTTTAAACCTACCACAGAGAGCAGAGCACAGAGGAAACTTCACGACTTATGCACCTGCAAACACATGGCTCCAAACTCAATTGAGCTCTGAGCCCCAAACATCACCCTACCTAACTCTGTTTAGCTGCTTCTACCATTTATTACAGGGGATATTTCAAACCTCTGCCACTTTCCCCAAAACTTCACCTAATGATCAATCACCAGACTCTCAGTTTACCTTCACAGACTCCTTTATCAAGGAAATTCAAATTCACTCATTCCCCCTCTACATTTTTGTCTCCTCCATTAAGATTTATTACAGCTGCACGAATTCATATGTCCTTCCTTTCAATCTAAGGGAAAAAGGTTTCCATCTGTTCAACTTCAGACTTTCCTTCAACAATTAACTTCATTCTTTCCTGTCACCTCTGGGACTTGCTCCATCAGTTATCACACTGCTCTTTATAAATATTAAACATCTGCCTTTCTACAAGCTTCTTCCAATCAGTAGATAAATATACTCCCACACTTTAAAAATACTTTTTTATATTAAAAAAACTTCCTTGACCATTACAGCACGAAGTTTTTATGCTTAAGACACTAAGAGATGTAGTACTAAGTTCTGATCCCAAACTTATTAGCTGTGTGACCTTGGTAAGTTCATTCTCTAAAGATAGATTCTGTACTATTTCCTTATTTGTACAATAGAGCAATAATAGTAATTACTTTATAGTATTAAATGAGACATTTCATGTACAGTGTGTAGCATAGTGCCTGGCACTAAAAAATGTTAAGTTTTCAATATATGATATAATAGCTAGTTGTGTTACTTAAAAATGTGTGACTTTGGGGCTGGCCCCATGGCTCACTTGGGAGAGTGCGGCGCTGGTAGCGCCGAGGCCGCGGGTTCGGATCCCATATAGGGGTGGCTGGCGCACTCACTTGCTGAGTGTGGTGTGGGCCACACCATGCCGTGGGTTGTGATCCCCTTACCGGTCAAAAAACAAAACAAACAAAAAAAAAGTGTGACTTTGTACAGTGTTTTTCCTTCTGAAAACACATTTCAAGGCAAACAAGGAACTAGAGAACAGACCATATTAAATATACAAATGGATGTTTTTATAAGTTAGGGGTTATAATTCAACAATTATAAAGAATATCAAAGAAAGTTGCACTGCCAGTAATGGAGAATTAACTTTTATTAGACTAATGCTTCTGCAGATGGTAATTATAAACCCTTCCAAAAATATAAAATAATGATTTGAAGGCTTGTGACAGCAATAAAAAAGGTAGAAATGAGAGAGGAATAAACTCTTCTATCAGAAAGGAGCCAATGGCATTGGGTGAGACTGCCCTTATGCAGGTTTTCAACTGGGGGGCAATTCCCTACCCTGGTAGCCCTGCAGCTGAAGCTTAAGCACAAAGCACCAGTTATATTGGCTTGAGCAGTCAGAGGATGCAATCATCCAGCATCCTTGGCTGATTCTTGAATTACACATTCATGGGGCAAACCCTAGACAGAATGAATGACAGAAGGTAGCTGCTGAATGGCTGAGAGAACTGAGCAAAGATTTCAGTGATTGTCAACTGCAAGAAGACAGTTTAGACTATTAATCTAATCACATTAACTGTTTACTAGAACAAAATACAATTCTTCAGAAGATAATAGAATCCAGACTGTGCACCACAGCATTCTTAATGTCCAGGACACGGTAACAATTACTAGGCATGCAAAGAAATTAAGAAACAAAAAAAGTGATCCATAGTCTACAGAGTAGTAGTCAATAGAAACTGGGCCCAAAATGATCTATATTGGAATTAACACACAAGGACCTTAAAGCAGCCATTCTGAAATAAAATATGGTCACAATGAATAAACAGAAAGGGAATCTGGGCAGAGAAATGGAAACTATCAAAAAAAAATCAAGTTTGGGCCGGCCCGGTGGTGCACTGGATGGTGCGCCGCTTGGGAAGCGTGGCGGTGCTCCCGCCCGAGGGTTCGGATCCCACATACAGACCGGTTCCCACTCACTGGCTGAGCGAGGCATGGGGGCAACGCCGAGGGTTGCGATCCCGTTGCCGGTCCCGGTCCGGTACGGGGGCGACACTGAGGGTTGCGATCCGTTGCCGGACACGGAAAAAGACAAAAAAAAAAAAAAAAAAATCAAGTTCTGGTGTTCTGGGTTGACTACAGCTAATAATGTCATATTGTATATTTCTAAAATGCTAGAAAAGAGAATCTTGACCATAATCACCACAAAGAAAAATGTTTAGGTGATGAATATGCTATCTACACTAAGTGAAACATTGTACAATATA